AATTATAAATTCTTAGTCACAAGGCTGAAAATTGTTTTGTTAGCTTTCTAGACTCAAAGTTACATTTTAAACAAGATATTTCAACCAATCAACGTGCAGAAACAACGTTTTCAGAATTATCTTGCGTACGTAGCTAGGCTTTATTCGAAATATCAATTCAATTATTTTCATGTTAAAACGAACAAAGGGACGTTGTATGAAACATAGATACCATCTGAATGTTATTATAGATCAAAGGTTGGTGAGTTAAAGGAATTATTATTTTTCTTATCACACATACACACGTTAGGAAGAAAATTACACGAACCTTAAATTCAATGACGAAAAAGGGAATTATAAATCCTTCATAACTAGGTATCATATTTGTTTACAAGAAATTTTATTCTTTATTGAAATTTATTATATTAATTTGTATATATGACACCTAGACCCGAATCAACAACTTATGGATCACACAAAGAATTTTTGCAAGCGGAAATCCATCCTGAACTACATAAATTTTACTTTTTAAAACGAAATCTAGCGAACCGCCCGGGTGCAATACTGATACGAAATTTCTCTACTATTTAATAGATGTCATTGTACATATTAACCTTACATATTATGTTACAAATGTATGTATGGATATAGGGACAGAGAAAACGACTTTGTTTCTTACTATGCAATAGAGAAGAGAATGTTTTGTTGAACCTAAAAGAGTAAAGGGCGATCAAACAAATAATACGTTCGATTTTAGTACTTCTATTCCATATCAAACATAAATTCCATTCACTTAGAACAATTACAAAGAAAATAAGAAAAAAATACATTATTAAATAATGGAAACCTCAACAAAGTATGAAAATACAATGAAATCAAATACAAGTCTCAACTCGATCGTAAACAATAGAATACCTACAGTCGAGTTAACATTGTTAGCAGTAGATAATAAAACCTGCTACGATGCCCATAATAAAATGGTCACGTTGGTAAACAATACCATAATACAACACTACTTATAAATCTTCTTTAGAGACTTAAGATGAGGTTATTAATTATAAATTTATAAAGATGTTTTTTTATGTGATAGGACCGCAAATGAGCCAACGGATTGTCTGATGATAAGCAATCAGCGCCAACCATGGACACTCGCATCATCAAAGGGGTTTTTTTCGTGAGGGGAAAATCATCAAATGACTTCTCCCGCCCAGGGCCGGGCGGGAGGGAGTGTCAGACTCTTACTGACTAAAAACCCCCTGTTCCTTCTGCTGCTCTGGGCCGAGGTCACGGTGCCTCATTGCGCTTACCCCGCAACAGGGGTTACGAGTACGTTTCGTCCTTTCGGGGATTAGGGTTTTGGATATTTCGGATTGGTGAGGGCGAAGAATTGTCGCAGCTGACTAGTCGAAGTCGAAGAGTCCTGTTGTGACTTGAAACTAGTCGAGCTTTTCTCGGTTAATTCAAGTAGTTAGTCGTTATTTTCCAAAAAAAGTAATCCTCTCTATACCTACTATCGTATAACCATTATAAATTTTATTCTTTTTTTAAAGGCCAATTAATAAATTAAAACGCATTATTCGACATTAGAACCTTTGCACAATCGAATGCATAAACGCTACAACTCCTTATGCTATAAAATAGTGGAAGTAATGTTTTTAAATCTGTATGGATTAAGTTTTATTGCATTTAAGTAATCAGTGGAAATAAACAACTTTATTAATTAGTCATTTGTTTTTTCATACCTACACCTGCAAAAAAGACAGTAGTAGGTAATAGGTAGGTAGTAGGTAGGTATGTGTACATATATGAATATATTCCAGTTTCCTCAAAATCGTTTTTACATGAAAGAAACATCCATCCATCTATACTTACAAAATTTGCCTGTATAACATTATTAGGACAACAGTTAAACAATAACATAAATACAATTTATATAAAACCTAAACTACCTACACCTATAGTACTAAAAATAAAATCGAATATAAAATAATGAATAAATAAAGATATGACGAGGGATGACAGTATAGAGATATGGACAGACTTTACTAAACTGGGCTTAAAGGTCACAGGAAATATAAATAAATAAGTGGGTCAGATACAGCCACAGAAATATTTAGATAGACATTTAGATGAGCTATTAAAGTAAAAGTAAATTCAGTAGAGTAACCGAGAGCTCGTGATTTAGTTTCAATAAATTTATTTCACCATAGATAAAATACAAAAATGTCGTCTTACTCATCTCAGTTTAAAGATTAAATCAAGTTATTTGTAAAGTCGTTCAAAAATAAAGGAAAGTCTTGAAGAATTTGACAAGGAGAAAATGCTTGGAAGATAAAAAGAACTGCTATGGTTTTGGCTACTGCAATAATAGCGACTGACAGGTATCTGGATGTAGTATTAACTTTACTAAAAAAAACTAAATACGACGCGATATAATATAATATACAATAAAAGCAATGGTATCAAGGAAACATTAGAAGAAAGTGCGATATGAAGAACACCTATTCACCTTGTGAGTACACGTTGACCTTTTTCAGGGTCGTTAGACCTTGCAGTCACCTGTTCTAGTGCAGTTGACACTAAGCCTGTATCGATTGAGAAACATGTAGATACACCTACTTCAAGGACAGTAACCGACGTTACAGGTCACGTGTGAAAACATCGTAAACCTATACATTTGTTGACAAAATAAAGGAATTTGCCGGTCGTTAGTGCACTGTAATGCGTTTTGCATGATATGGAAAATATACGGGTGATTGGATTATGTAGGCACGCAGATATCATATTGGTGGCAGACAACAAGAATCATTTTAACAGCCAAAGTGCGAAAAGAATACAAGTCAAGCAAATTAGCCATTTAGAAGTTTGTACAAAGAAGAAGAAGGCGATTTGCACTCAGTGCTGCCAACATTAAAACCAATCAATGAATCAGCTTTCCAATACAACATTTAAATATTCCACGCGATGAATATCAACAACAACGTCTGCCAAGCACTTGAAATAACAGTGACATCGGAACATGCAATAGAGTTGCATAAGAAAACAAAGAACTATGCGACGCACAAACAAATAAAATAACACATAACCTATGAAAAGTTTCCAAGATGTTGTTGCGTCGCGGTGGCGCCCGCAATGAGCGGTCATATATTTTCATTGTATGCAAAAACTATATACGTAACTCAAGGACGCATTATCGGCAGTTGGCCTTACTCGCAATGCATTTAGTTGCACACCGATAATTCACTACTAGTTATTATATTTTACGGCGCTCTTTACTAGCTCTAAGTCACGTCGCGCTGCGTACGAGTGGAAATGTCCGATGTTTTGCAATTATATTGCGTTTGCGAAGTTAGGTATTGAATAAAATTATTTCGTATCCATAACCGCAGCAGCAATGAATTGATTTATCGATCTTATCATTCATCATTTGAGCAATTGGTTCCAAATAGAATCAAGCTTCGGTTTTCCCATGTCTATGAATTTAATAATTTAGTTATTTAAATGTACCTTCCGTCTTATTGGGTATTTTGTTTTTTTTTGTAAACTCTTAGTCATCACTGCTTATTATGTGGGACTTAGAACAACGAACGAATTAGAGGGACAAAATCTACATTCACGCAAATATCTAAAAAATTTTAACTAGCTGATCTTTTGCACTATGTTTAAAGAATTTTGGCTTCACAGCCATAGTAACGAGCATCTTCAAATCGCATCCCGTCAGTTAACACTTGATAATAATTAGTTCTGATCATGCAACGTCTTACATACGAATAACCGTCAGTAACTTATTGAAATAACGCCAGTTGATACGAACTACGTGATAACTGACACGCGAATACTGGAATATTGCAACTTCAGAATGCAAAATATTAAATGCTTAGTTGTCATAACAAATTCATTCAAGAAATCAAATGAAGCTATGTTTTACAAAGTTTTATTTATTTTACAATTTTATTACAAAGACAAATTTATTTGAATTAAGAATTTCTGATAGATACAAAGCAATGTTCCAATTGAAATAGCTAGTAATTTTTTGGGATATGTCTGAACTCTGAAAGTGTTTATGCGAAAAACCTGATGGTAAGTATTCAACGCTATCCATCGACATCTACTACGCCGGAGAAGTTAATAGAGCATTGTCACTTTAGGATAGAAGGGAGGTTTGTTAAGTATTAAAATTTTTCAGTTGCGGACATATGTATTACTAGATACATCATTTAGAAGATAGTGACAACCACAATTTTGCACTACAAGCTACAAAAATAAAAACAGATATATTAGCTCGACGTAGCAACAAAAAATAACATTTCGACTATCCAAATAAATTTAACTCAGTCCAAAAACTTCGCAAATAATCGTCCAGACCAGCACATCAATTAGTTTATTGCTCCAACATCACGTACGGTCAACGTTTTGGCAAAAAATTAAAAGGTCCATTTTAGCACGAACAAATTCTGTTACATTTTTGGTAATTTAATAGAACAGTTCTCGCAACTTGCTTTATGTGTGGTACAATTTGGAGTAGAGACTACCGAAGCAATACGTAAATATTAATTTTATTCAAATCACACGATATCGTAACACATCATCAGCCTATACGTGCCCACTGCTGCGCAAAGGCCTCTTCTCACACAGAGAAGGTTTGAGATTAATCATCAAGCTTGCCCAAGGCGGATTGGCGATTCAAACTTATAAATTACAAATTATAAGTCCAGGTTTCCTCACGATATTTTCCTTCACCGTATATCAGTGGTGTCAAAATAATCATAGAAAGTAGATACATAGGTATAACTCGGAAAAAGTCACATTGGTACTTGCCAGGTTTCGTACCCTCATGCATAAGAAGCGGGCGCCTTATTCTCCAGGCTACCTCGACGTGTGTCAATCGTGACATTGTTACTTGAAAATTTTAGGAGATCTTTGCCCCTATTCAAATTAAAAAAGAAACAAGATCTTGCTATAGTTGCCCAAAATAATTTAGAATCTAGAAACTTCTGCAGCAAATCAAAATTTCGTCTTACCTTCGTGTCATATTCCCTCCATGGCGAAATCTGTCTCTCCGTCTCCCTCGATGATACGAACAGTACCACCTTCTCCGGGCGCAGTGCCCTGAGGAACCTCACCAGCGTGGCTCCTACTACCGTCACATCTTCAGGGCAAGCTCCCACCAACCGTCTTATTATTGACTTTGATTCTGATCTGCAAAAAAAGAAAAACATTGTTGTTAGTTCTGGAGGCAGGAACTTCCTGATTAGTCGAGTATGAGAAGTCTTTTGGTCTTTTATGTAATTTACATGTATTACAAGAGTCAAAGGCGAAATCTTGAAAACAATGTACCGTCTTCTTTTTTGTCTTCTTCCAGAATAGCAACCAGAGGCAATAAGTCTTTTTATATTTCATAGGTCGGCAATCGAGCAGACGGATTACCTAATGGTAAGCAAACAGCGCCGCCCATGGACTCTTGTAGTACCAAAGGATTACAAGTGCGTTGGCGGCCTCTAGTGGGTTATTAGGGATCCCCTATGGATTTGAAGTTGAGGATGGGGAAGAAATGGGCCTCCGGTAACCCCACTCACACAGCGAAACCCAGTGTAAGTGTTGCTTCACGCCAGTTTTCTGTGAGGCCGTGGTATCACTCCGGCCGAGTCGGCCCATTCGTGCCGAAGCAGGGTTCTCCCACACTTCATCTATTACCTCATATTAGATGTCCTTATGAATACATCTCTCCCTACAAATTTACCATTTCCTCCTTTGATTTTCTTCTCTATCAATACTAAAGTTTTGATCAACATTTGGTCTATCACTACACTTGTCTATAGATTCCACCTGTGTTTAAGATATTGTGTTTCGATAAACGTTTAGACAATAGACTTAGACAATGACAACTACCTGTGTCTGTATGGTAGATGTGATTTTGTCACGCCACATCGCGCGTATCATCAACCTAGACAATATTCTATACACATCTATTGTCTTTTACTCTACATATACATTTACTTGTATATTTGGATCAACACTACCTGTCCGTGTCCTAGATTAATAAAACTATATAATTTTGATGTTTATGTAAAAACTAGCCTTTGCCCGCGAATATGTTCGCCAGGATAGTGACTTCCTGCAGATTTTTGGTTTAAAAAAACTATTCTATGTCCTTTCTCGAGTTTCAAACTATATCTGCACCAAATTTCACACAAATAGATTCAGTAGTTTAGGCGTGAAGAAAAGACAGACAGACAGATTTACTTTCGCATTTATAATATTAGTTTGGATTACTGTGTTGTAGTGAGGAAAACAGTCTCTCCGAGAAAAATATTCGAATGAAGTTGCATAAAACGTATAAAACGACAATGTGTCTGTGAAGCCATTGAAAATTGAAATAATTAAATATGACACATCTTTTGATCAATTGTGAATTGTGATCTCAGTTAACTATCGATTTAGGTGATTAACGAAAGGTAAAGAATCTTAGCATATTTTCTTTATGTTAAAAGAAGTTATTATCAATTACCTGTATAGCTCGCTCTGTCCTGAGGTGTAGGACAGTCCCGTGCATCTTGTCGCATGTGTGGGCAGAACATCTCTCGCGACGTAGTCCTCTATCCATTGTAGGGCGCGCCCTGACCCGTTGTAGTCGCAGTACACAACTGTTGGACAAAGAGAAGAGAAATATTATTAACAGTATTTATATATTTTTATTATATATTCAAAAGGCATACAAGTTCTAAAATATTGAAAAACTAGTTTCGCCCGCGTGGTATTATGTGTTAATCCAGGATATCAGCTATCTACACGCCAAGTTTCGAACAAATCGGTCCAGCCATTTTTGCGTGAATGGATAACAATATATACATCCACACATTCTTACAAACTTTCACATATATTATATTATATTGGTAGGAAGGATTGTCTTCTAATAAGTTTTTACTAAGTTTATTATAGTTAAAATTTATAGTCAATAGTTTAGGAAACATATTTTAATTTACTGTGTCGAATTAGGTAGGCAAAGTAATATGTGGTAATAAATAAAATGAATAAATAAACTTTTTCCCTGATACAAATTTACTTGGAGCAATGTCCTGTTTCACTTTTCTTATCAATCTAACACTGATGGACAATATTCTCTCTCTTTCACACACATACATTTTCGTCGTGATGACGTCACAGTTGCCAATATCGGAAATTGCATCCTTGTATTGTTACGTGACAGTCATTAAAACCTCCCTTAAGAAAGGAAGTAAGGATAACGGAAAATGTATCCTATTATAATTGTACAATGGTTTAATCTAGATAAACGATCATGATATGAAATGATTAAATATTCTTCAAGTACTTATATCCGACTTAGATCTATGATGCTGCATACAGAATACCTATTTAATACCTAGGTTTAAGGAAAACTACTCAATAGGATCTAATAAAGCGGTTTACATATATTAAAATGCAGAATAGCTATCATTACATACGAATATGCATGTGATTTGTATAAATAATAAATTAAATCTTGCTATATTAATTGAGGATGCAATAACTTTTGTATATGTATGCAATGTGTAGTAATTGGTTACGAAAAACCAATTCCGAGCGAATGGCGCGTAGCGTTCTGCGCGCGGCTCAAAGAGCCAATAGAGCACCACAGACAGAGCCCTAAGACCCTCTCGCCCCTCTTTCTTTCTCCTGCTCTAGGCTAAGGCCGCGGCGCCATTTTGGCGTTTGGCGAAAACGCGCCTAAAGAGCCGTCAGTCCACCACAGATGGGGCTCCCTAGGGCCGTCGTCCATCCGGGATTGCGAGTGCTTAAGCCATAAATGTACTACGATCCCGACACGAAGCAGAAGGAGGTACGAGGCAGTTTCTAGTCAGTAAGAGTCTGACAATCCTTCTCGCCTCGCCTAGGGCAGAAAGCGGGAAAAGTAATCAGATTATTTTCACAAAAAAAGAGTCCTTAAAACAAAATGCGATATATATATATGTATAACAGGAAGAAAATATAGGATTGATTTATTCATTGTATTTCGTGACAAATAACAATTAAATTTATCATAAAGAGATATTTTTATGAAAAAAAAAAGAAAACAAAACGCCTATTATTCGTCAAAAGGGGGTGTGATGTAATCCCGTACACTGCTATTTGATGAAAGTTAAATACTACTCATATTTTAAAGTACTGAAAATTGTCAAGCATTCCAAATTTCTTTAGGTCCTAAAATTACACGTGTCAGATGTAAAGGACAATGCTAAACGCTAGGCAAAATTGAAATTATTTACAATGCTAATGAGTATTATCTTATCAAGATCTTGAATTCCAACAACCAAAGATGATTAATAAAAAATAATCTTTGCTTATATAATTCATTATCTATACTTATATTATAAAGAGGTAAAATTTGTAAGTTTGTAAGTTTGTATGTAGGATTGTAGGGGGTAACTTTTGGAACCGCTGGTCGGATTGCCAAAATTCTTTCACTGATAGATAGCTACAATGTTCCTGAGTACTAAAGCGCACGCTACGATTAAATGAAGCCGGGCAGCGGGTGAAACCGCGTGAGAGTAGCTAGTTAACTAATATTATTAAGCTGAATAGTTTCTTTGTTAGTTTGAACACAATTATCTCAGGAACAGCTGGTTCAAATTGAATGTTTCTTTTTGTATTGGATAGGCTATCTTTTGAGGAAGACTTAAGACTAAAATATTAGTTTTTTTAGAGGGAGACTATGATCTAATAACTTCTTCGGCCCTAGGTGGAGCTAGGGAGTTTTAGACTCTAACCGGCAGGTTTTAATGGTGAGTAAATCCAGTGATGAAAGAATCTGAGAGACAAATATTAATTAATTACTTTCAGATTACGTATGAAGTCCCTTTCACTATGTTTTTCATGTTATTACACATCAAAAGAGATTGCAAATTCGATTCCCGATGTCAACCGACACGGACGTTCGTTATTGGATAAAGTATGTTATTGAGTTTGTCAGTTCCAATTAATAGAACAGGAACAGGGATCGATTTTGCGTCTGATAACTACATATGGGGATGGCTTTTGAAATTAAAGCAAGCAGACTTCTACTGAGAGTAGTGGTGGGTCGTTAACGAGTTTTGGGCAGCGTAGCAGTTACAGTTAATAATCGCTTTTGCAGACGTAAGCAGCTTTTGTTTGAATATATTTATGTTGAGTTAATAATATGCACTTATATGAAACATTTGATGGATTTAACGCGTTTTGCGTTAAACAAACTTAATAAGTTATCATTAGGCAAAGTCTAATTCAAATCATTTATTTCAATAAATACCACTATAGCCGACACTTTTAAACAAAGAGGATATAACCAGTGGTTATATTGTCATTGCTTTTTAACATCAAACAAAAATAACTATCTAAATGTTCAACTCTGTGTGTTAGTCTGTCGGTCTGACCTCTTGTAAAGCTATTTGCTCGACCCAAAGTGTGCGTTCCAATGGAGAAGAACGAGCAAGAAACTCCATGATTACTCTTTTTCAATCGATTTCACAATTTGTCGTTTTTAGTATATTAGAATAGCGTAAAACTAAACATATTATTAACAGTTAAAAAACCGTTCGAATCAAAGCCCACTTATAGCTGAGACCTGTATGAAAATCGATGATAAAAAAGTTCCCAAAATCGACCTGCAAGAGGTCATTAAACCTGAGTCAATGTCAGACGTTTAGCATTGTGAGACATAGCTTTGTTTTAGGATACCGATACCATCAACTATAGTCACATTTGAATACTAATATTCAACGGATATACCTATGTATATTTAATATGGAGCTCCAATCAGATGTTTTACGTAGTCAAAAATATTTTGACATTCCAATATAATAAAATACAATAGAATTCATTATCTTTTCGTTTTTACTGCATACTTAATTTTTTTGTTATTTTTTTTTTTGAGAAATTATTTTGTATACGTCATTTAAAACAATATCTCTATGACGTCGTTATGTTATGCATAGGAGACTTACTATTTTTGCTTGCGAATTAAATAGGATTATAAACCAAAAAAAAAAAAATATTAATAGACTTGAAAAATAAAACAATACGTAAGCAAATTGACTGAATATCAATAATTTATAAACATCTCAAGATTCGTGAGCTTATTAGTGCTATTTTGATAATTACAAAACCACACAAAAATGGCGGCCCGACTAGAACCAGCCCCGAGCGTATGGCGTGTAATAGCTCCGTGCGCGCTTCATAGAGGCAATAGGCCACCACAACGGGGCCCAATAGGACTGATGTTCAGCTGGGGTTGCGAAGCAAACGCTGTAAGGTACCGCAGCCTCGGTTTAGAACAGGAGAAGGAACCGAGGGGGGGGGGGTTTAGTCAGTAAGAGGCTGACGTTTTTCTGCTAACCCTTTTAGCCTCACCCTGGACTAGTCATACCTAAACGTTTATTGATACCTTTTATTATGCACTACAATTGTATATAAACAATTTTTATACGTATAAGTCCAACACGTTTATTCACATATATTACGTAACTTTTAGTTGACAACGATAACTGTATCAATAGGACACAGAACAGCGGGTTATGATAAACTAATAATATTGAATAACAAATAATTTTACACGCTAATGATAATATGCGCATGAGTGGATTCGCGACCCAATTGCTGGAACTTAATTACCTATAACGAGATAAGCCGACATAGGTAGGTTAAAAGGAAAAAAAAACTCAATAAATCGAAAATCAATAACGGTAATAATTGTGACGATTATTTATTGGGCCTCTGCGAGTTGGCTTCGGCCCCTCGTACGCCTTCCAAAGGTCCGGGATCCTATGATCCCGTGAACGGAAACGAATATGCGCATGAGTGGATTCGCGACCCAATTGCTGGAACTTAATTACCTATAACGAGATAAGCCGACATAGGTAGGTTAAAAGGAAAAAAAAACTCAATAAATCGAAAATCAATAACGGTAATAATTGTGACGATTATTTATTGGCTTGTTTATTTGATTCTCATCGGGGATTATCCTTGGGTGCACTTTCATAGTGCAAACAGGGATAATTGCCGGCTGATGTCCCATCACATTTAGATTAAAACTGTTCAAAGGGCCTCTGCGAGTTGGCTTCGGCCCCTCGTACGCCTTCCAAAGGTCCGGGATCCTATGATCCCGTGAACGGAAACGAATATGCGCATGAGTGGATTCGCGACCCAATTGCTGGAACTTAATTACCTATAACGAGATAAGCCGACATAGGTAGGTTAAAAGGAAAAAAAAACTCAATAAATCGAAAATCAATAACGGTAATAATTGTGACGATTATTTATTGGCTTGTTTATTTGATTCTCATAATTTTATATATCCATTTAAAAGTATAAAAGACAGTATCCCACCCGATGGTCTCCACGATCATTGATGTAGGTACACAGTGCATCTTATCAGTTCATCATTCGGTAAGACAAGAAGAAGAATGGAACAATTAGGTTCAAAGGCTTATTTCATCAGAAATCTCTTCCAGCAGAACCGATCTGTCGTGAAGTCAGAAAATCTTAATTTTTAGTTCACTGCACTGTCTCCAGTTTTGTTCCATATAAGTTACAAAACCTCTACATTAAATTCTGAATAACTGGAAATTTACAAACTATTTAGCAAACATCTGCCGAGACTAAAGCAATAATT